AATATTTTATTATTATTCTTAGAGCTATCCAATTCATAGCTCTCCAATATATTATTATTATTTTTAGAACTCTCCAATCTTATAGTTCTCCAATATTTTATTATTACTTTTTAGAGCTCTCCAATTTTATAATTCTCCAATATTCTATTATTACTTTTATGAGCTCTCCAATTTTATGACTCTCCAATGTTTTATTATTATTTTTAGAGCCCTCCAATCTTAGGGCCTGTTTGTTTTGAGAGGTAAAATGGAGGGGATTGATAGTAAGGGGATTAAGTAAAATTGTGTTTGTTTTGATGATAGTTGTTAGTGTAGGAATTGTTAAATTATTTTTATATAAAATAATAAAACAAATAAAAAAATATAAAAAATAAAACATTAATATTTTAAAAAAATTCTCAATATATAAAAAATAAAATTTTTTCTAATCCCCTCACTATTTTTCTAATACCACCTCCACCACCTCCATCCCAATCCCCCTTCCAACCTCCATCTATATCCCCTCCTCCATCCTAATCCCTTCCCCAACTCTACAAACAAACACAATACTAAATAACCCTACCTCCATCCTAATCCCGTCCCATCTATTACACCGCAAAACAAACGGGGCCTTATAGTTCTCCAATATTCTATTATTACTTTTAAGAGCTCTCCAACTTTAGCCCGACACGACAACACTATGTGAGAAGCCGTGGCTCTTTTACACCACACAGCCCCTCTTGCGTTGTTGGATCTCGCTTCGTGGCTTGTCGACGGAAATTTTTTTCCTCCTTCACGGCTGTCGGCACCCCCCTTCTTTTCTCTCTCTCTCTAAAAACCTAGAACCCCAGAACCAAACTTAGAGGGAGAAAGAACATAAAAAAAACCCAGAGCCCAACTTGGAGTGAAAGACTATGGAAAATCCAGAACCAAATTGGGAGAGAAAAGTATAGACAAACCCAGAATCACCAAACAACTTTTTTAGTGGTACATTTATCCAAGAAACCAAGATGTGGGTAACCAAGTCAATAAAACACTTCTCTATACCATGGGTAAAAGGAGAAGACCTGGGAAGCAATTGGAAAACACAAAGCTCCTATTTGATCAGGATTCAAAAAAAATAGAATAAAGGGTAAAATCCCCTCTGTACAATGGGTAAAAAGAGAAGACTTGGAAAGCAGTTGGAAAACACAAAACTCCTATTTGATCAAGATTCAAAAAAAAAAAAAAAAGGCTCAATCCCCTCTGTACAATGGGTAAAAGGAGAAGACCTGGGAAGTGACCGGAAAACACAAAGCTCTTATTTGATCAAGATTCAAAATAAAAAAAATAAAAAAATAATAAATAATGTATATATATACACACACATTGAGGTCGTATCTTCCCAAGGTAGGATCTTTAAATCAATCAAAAACTCTCCATGCTCGGTGGAAACATTAAAAACAAACGTGACCGCTCATGGCTCATGACTGTAGTCGCTGATGGTGACCTCTGCAACTCGCCGGCACCTTTCTTCCCTCCTTTCTCTCTCTAACAACTCACTGCTCTTCTCCTTTGTGACTTTGGAGCTTGACCCACTCCCCTCCCTTCGATTCAAGACCTGAAGACATAATACAAAAACCTAGCCCTTCAAAGCCCGACTCGACAATAGTATGAGAGAAGCCATGGCTCTTTCACACCACACAGCCCCTCTTGCGTTGTTGGATCTCGCTTCGTGGCTCGTCGACGGCAACCTTTTTTTCCTCCTTCATGGCTGTTGGCACCCTTTTCTTTCTCTCTAAAAACCCAGAACCCCAGAACCAAACTTAGAGGAAGAAAGAACATAAAAAAAACCCAGAACCCAACTTGGAGTGAAAGACTATGGAAAATCCAAGACCAAACGGGAAGAGAAAAGTATAAACAAATCCAGAATCACCAAACAATTTTTTTAGTGGTACATTTATCCAAGAAACCAAGATGTGGGTAACCAAGTCAATAAAACACCCCCCTATGATCAGGATTCAAAAAAAAGAAAAAGAAAAGGGTAAAATCCCCTCTGTACAATGGGTAAAAGGAGAAGACCTGGGAAGCAACCGGAAAACACAAAGCTCCTATTTGATCAGGATTCAAAAAAAAGAAAAAGAAAAGGGTAAAATCCCCTCTGTACAGTGGGTAAAAGGAGAAGACCTGGGAAGCAATCGGAAAACACAAAGCTCCTATTTGATCAAGATTCAAAAAATAAATAAATTTTTAAAAAATAATGTATATATATAGACACATATTGAGGTCGTACCTTCCCAAGTAGGATCCTTAAATCAATCAAAAACTCTCCATGCTTGGTGGAAACATTAAAAATAGACGTGACCGCTCATGGCTTATGACTGCAGAAACATTGGACTCTTCAAAAAGTCACTTTACTGCAGCTACTAACAGCTACAAAAGCTATCACAAGCTACCATGAACAGCTCCAAATCAACAACTATTAATGGTCCACTCTAAACCAATAGCTACAACTTCAATTGGTGAGTTGTTCTCTTCATGGATTGCTTATTCCCAATGTCTTCATAAAGCTGCAAAAGTTAGTAAACTCACTTCCACCTTCCCGATGCAATCTCTTTATAGGAGAACAAATACAAAACAACACAACAAAAAAAGAAAAAAAAACTCAAGCAAATTCATATTCAATTGCTAACACTCTCCTTTCAACTTCAAGAACCCATTCTCTCTAACAATGGCTTCTGGAGGAGAGGACCACCGAGATAATATCGTTTGGCGGCCAGTGAACAACAAGGCTCCAAACTAGAGAGGTTCAAATTACATAGCTTCAAACTCCAACTCTAGAGCTTCGAGCTCCACTCCCACTTACTGCCGACCAGTGAACAAGAAGGCTCCAAACTGGAGAGGTTCAAACTATATAGTTTTGAACTCCAACTCTAGAGCTTCGAGCTCCACTCCCATTCACCGCTGTTGCCCGGTGTGTGAGTTCTTTCGAAGATTGCTCTCCATGCCTCCATGGCAATTCCAAGGTCCGCTATTCGAATCCCCTTGGGTCCAGCACCCAACATCCCCATATATGGTCATAGAGGTGCTGAAAGAATTTTGGGGTAAAATAAGGGGATGGTACAAAGCATTGACGCTCCCAAATCTCTACACAATACCACCATCTTACACTTGGTTCTTGCCAAACCAAGAAGGCAACCTTACCCTCCAAGGATCCACTTGCCAGGCAATGCAAGTGCTAATCCCACATTTCGAGAGGATCCGAATCAATATCCTCTCACAAAGATTGACAGAGAGGGATCTGAACCACCACATCTCCATCATGTCAGAATCAATGGAAAACCCAAATGAAGACTTGGGACCTGGATGGGACATAGAGAACTTCGCAGACCTCAACTTGGGGGAAGAGAGCGTCCTCCGCAATGCTCCGCCAAATATTCCCCACAATACTCCGCTCAACATCCTCTTGTTAAACACTGAGGGCGCCGCTCATCCTAACTTCCTCTAGCACTACATGCACCTACACTCTTATGGACGCTTCCATCTCGTCATCATTACAAACACGAAAAAGGGAGAAAGCGAAGCCCAGTTTATGAGTCAAATCATGGGCTACTCCAACACCAAGACCATGAATCTGCCTCCTTGTGGCATGAAAAGAGTGACGAGCGGGATTGGTGCTTATGGAATGAAGCTGAAATCTCATGTGAAGTAGTAGAGATCCTGTGGAACGAGGTCATCGTCCAACAAGTCCACATTTTCGTCCGGTCTGTTCGTGCCAGATGAAATTAAAATGTGAATTCTCCATGGGCATACAGGTACAGACACTCATGAGAATATCTGTACAGGGGGCATTAATGTGGGTATCTATATTATGCTTAGCATGTGGCGAGCCCTACAGGTGTCACGTCATCACCATCGTACATCCACGTGGCAGACCCCTAAGGCACCACGATGAGTTGGGGTTGTATTCCTAGCCTAAGTGGGGGCATGCACACTACCAAGTATGAAAACAAGGCCACAACTCACTTTGATAGATCTGGCTCACCTAGAGTTCTCTATTGCCCTTCATAACTCAAGAAATATATTCTCTACCCACTCACCCCAACTCCATAGCAACATAGTTGGACTCTTGGCTCACCTATGTTTGACTCACCTATGTTTACTTAGTTGCTCAGGATGAGCCCTTGGCTCACCCATGCACTCACCCTATTGGTTGCCTAGGTTGGGAGTAGGACCTAGGCCCTCCCACTTGGGATCATTGGAGGATTGTGGATTGGAGGCTAAGACCTTGGGATCATCAAGGTCGTGTAATTGTCTCCCTACAGTGACAGCTCCCCCTTTGACCTGGCTTAGAGAAAGGGACGTTGACCTTACACTTACATCTGATGCACATATGATACGCCTCTTAAGATATCATACCTACAACTGAAGCTCTTATGATGCAACGTCCCAAGAACCTGAATCATAGGACACAGCTAGTAGGGTTGATATCACCCTCCTATCGAGTCGAGTAGAACTCGCCACCTGTTTTGAGGTTGTTTGGGCTCCAATACTGCTGGAGTCTATATAACGACATCATAAGTGCAGCTACAATAACACAACAACAGCAACAAGAATCACATAGCATACACTAAGTGTTCAAGGTCTCTCACTGTCACCCCTTTCCTCTCTAAGCCTGCCTTGGTCTTCTCCTCTTCTACTTCCAGTTATCTCAGGCTATTGAAGTGCCCACCATCTTCCTAGAGGTCAACGACCGATCGTCTCTAATCTCCATCACCCACAAGTGGAAAGAAATCATTTCATCGTATTGTTTTCTTATGGCATTGGAAATAGGTTTGTGTGTTGTGTAATATCATTTCAATAATTTAAAACATGACATCATTTTTTTTTGGTGGTTCCAATCTTTTACAATTTCTTCATTCTAATTAATGAATTTTTTTCCTTTTAATCTGATTGAAAATGAATGGAAAAAAAGGAAGCACTCCCTAATATTTTTTAGTCAAAACATCTAATAATGGGCGTTGATCTCTTAAATATGCTAGGTTATGATCAATTTGGTATTTCCAGAAAAGGATCTGAAGACACTTTAGATCAACATTGCACCATCTTTTATGACAAGGAGAAGGTAGGAAAACCATTCCGTTCCTTTCTAAACAAGCTTAACTGTAAAACATTTCTTGTCAAGAAGGTTAGTTTAACACATCATGTTTGATCCATTTTTATTTATAATTATTATTATTTGCATTTAATGAAGGTGGAACTGTTAGAAGGTGGAACCTTTTGGTTGTCAGAATCGCCATCGGTCCCTGGAAGCACATCATGGGGATCTGAAGTTCCATGTATTGCCACATGGGTGATATCCTTTTTACTCTAGTGTACCTCGTTAATATCTTGTTTTATTGTTTCCCTTGTCTTTCTAAAACCAAAGTTATTCTTATATTTTTTCCTTGACAAAATGTCTACACATTTCAACTAAAAGGAGTTGAGCCACCAGGATTTTCGTTTCAGATAGTTAATACATGCATGGATGAGTTCAGTCCTCGTGCCCGCAGGAGAAGTGCTTTACTCACATGGCAGCATATTGCGTCTTTGCCTCCTAACTTACCAGTTGTATATTGTGGAGGATTTAACACACAAAAGGAATCAACTACTGGACGTTTTCTTCTCGGGAGATCAAGGTATGATCTGCAACATGGATAATTTGTTGTAAAATCAAGTCCAAACTAACTTTTTTCATCTAGGAAAAATAAAAAATTCTTCTCCCTCTTAGAATTGGTGAGGATAAAAAAATAAAATAAAAATAAAAATCTTGAGGACCTGAGCAATCACACATGCACAAACAACGAATCTAGAATGGAAGTAGATATCAAATGTACGGACAAGAAACACACAGATTTAAATGATCCACCACCCAAAACAAAAGGTCATGTATATGAAGTCACTGCGGTTTTACTATGATATTCAATAGAAAAATTACAAGAGCCTCTCACTTTCTATTTTCACAAAATCTCAGCTGAGGATGTTGCAATAGCCACAAGGACTAGAGGAGGGTCACCATCGTCAAAGTCAGATTCTGATGAAGAATCTGAAGTATCGTCAACCACCAAACATGATTGAGAAGGCTCTTGATTGGCCAGGGTTTGGAGGAATGTAGTTAAAGAATTTTAATGATTGAGGCAATTTGGTTTGTTAGGCTCAACCTCCAAAAGTTGAGTATCCTTAACTTTGGCCAAGGAAGATGTAGAGGTTGATACAGGCGGGTCGGATTGAACACTTGGTTGAGTAACAGAATAAGACATTGTCTACAACATTACTCAAATCACTACTAATAGAGTAACATTTTATATAACATAGTGAGAATGTAAAATGGAGAAATTAGGGTTGAAAGTTAGGAGGAAGAAGAAGAAGAGAGAACTTTGTATATATTAAAAACCAATTAATTCCCTCAACTGTACATCACTCAAATATATATAAAAAACCTAAAGTAGCAATATGACCATCGTACCCTCAACTTAAGTAAATATTAACAAGAGAACAAAAATAACTAAAAGAACTATTCTAACACTCCCCCTCAAGCTGGAGCATAGAGATCGAACATGTCCAGCATGGCAGACAAACGAAGAAATGAAGGCCGAGCCAAAGGTTTGGTGAGAATATCACCCAATTGATCCTCAGAACGAACATAAGGAGTCACCAGTTGCTTGCGGAGTAAGAGATCACGAATAAAATGGCAATCAACTTCGATATGTTTGGTGCGTTCATGAAACACAGGGTTATTGGCAATGAAGATAGCAGCCTGATTGTCACAAAACATGCGCATAGGAGTGGAAACAGAAAAGCCAAAATCTTGGAGAAGAGACTGAACCCAGAGCATCTCAGAAGCAGTATGAGCCATGGCGCGATATTCAGCCTCGGCACTAGAACGAGCAACGACGGTCTGTTTCTTGCTATGCCAAGTGACAAGATTACCACCAACAAAAGTACAATAGCCTGAGGTGGAACGGCGGTCAGTCGTATTACCAGCCCAATCAGCATCATTGAAGCCAGCGACAGACAAGGAGGAAGAGGGGCGATAGAACAACCCCCGACCTGGAGCACGCTTTAAGTATTGCAAGATACGACATACAGCCACAAAATGGGGTTGGCGGGGAGCATGCATAAACTGACTGACCACACCCACAGCATAGGTAATATCTGGACGAGTGACAGTGAGATATATTAACTTGCCAACCAACCGACGATAACGACCAATATCAGAAAAGAAGTCGCCAGTGTCACCAGCAAGCTTGACACTAGAATCCATGGGAGTATCACTGGGGCGAGTGCCTAAGAGACCAGTCTCAGTAAGAAGATCAAGAACATACTTTCGTTGAGAAAGAAACAAGCCCTGAGAAGAACGGGCAACTTCAATCCCAAGAAAATACCGAAGATGGCCAAAGTCTTTGGTGTGAAATTGTTGTCCCAAATACTGCTTCAAAGCAGCAATACCATTGGAGTCACTCCCTGAAATGATGATGTCATCCACATAGACAATAAGAACAATACTCCCAGTAGACGAGTGGCGAACAAAAACAGAGTGATCAAAAGTGGAACGGTGAAAGCCATAGGCAAGCACAACAGCACTGAAGCGATCAAACCAGGCACGAGGGGACTGCTTAAGACCATACAAGGCCTTCCTCAATCGACAAACAAGATGCTCTTGGCCGGGAACAACATAGCCAGGGGGCTGATCCATATAGACCTTCTCGTGGAGATCACCATGGAGAAAAGCATTCTTGATATAAAGGCCAAGACTGATTAACTGCAACAGAGAGAAGAATCCGAACAGAGTTAAGACGGGCCACAGGAGAAAAAGTCTCCAAGTAATCAACACCATAGGTTTGGGTGTAGCCTTTAGCTACCAGGCGAGCCTTAAGGCGCTCAACAGTTCCATCAGGAAGATACTTAACAGTATAAATCCAACGACAACCCACAATAGATTTGCCAGAGGGCAGAGGGGTAAGGTCCCAGGTCTGATTTTGATGAAGAGCATGCATTTCCTCATCCATGGCAAACTTCCAACTAGAGATGGACATAGCCTCAAGATAGGTGCGAGGAATGGAAATACTCGACAAGCTACAAGCAAAAGAGTGAAGACCAGGAGAGAGGCGATCATAAGAAACGAAATGAGCAATAGGATGTTGAGTGCAAGTGCGTTTACCTTTGCGGAGGGCAATATGAAGGTCATCAGATGGTAGAGCAGCAGGTGGAACAGGGGCCTCAGACGAAGGAGATGAACTGGCCGGGCCATAAGACACAATGCGACGAGCTTGAGACCGTTGATAAACCTGCAAAGGAGGGGTAGAAGTGAGAGGAGAGAGAGAGGATAGAGGAGTGGATGTGGAAGGAACATAAGAGGGAAGAGTAGGAGCGAGAGAGGCTGGCTCCCCCTCACGAGAAGAGAGAAGATCAGGAGATAACTGTTGCCCAGAGGAAGAAAAAAACGGAGTAGACTCAAAAAACGTTACATCAGCACTGACAAAGTAGCGACGAGACTCAAGATGATAACACCGGTACCCTTTTTGAGTGCGAGAATAACCTAAGAACACACACTTGCGTGCACGAGGAGATAACTTATCCAACCCAGGGTCAAGAACATGGACAAAGGCCACACACCCGAAAATGCGAGGAGGCAAGGGAAAAGGAGATGTGGTGGGATATAACAGAGAATAGGGAGATGTGTGTACAACACTAGAGGGCATGCGATTCATATGCAAACAAGCGGTGAGAACGGCATCGCCCCAAAACTGTTTGGGGACATGCATATTAAACATCAGGGTGCGAGCAACATCTAGCAAATGGCGGTGTTTCCGTTCTGCAACACCATTTTGTGGGGATGTATGAGAACAAGTAGTTTGATGAATAATACCATGAGCATCACAAAAGGTAGTTACAATAGATTGCACATATTCTAAGGCATTATCAGACCGAAATATCTTAATACATTTGCCAAATTGAGTAAAGATTTCATTATAAAACTTAGAGATGATGGAAGGCAAATCAGATCTTTGTTTCATTAAAAACAACCAAGTCATCCGAGAGTAATCATCCACAAAAATAACAAAATAAAAGAACCCATTAACAGTAGGAGTTCTAGAAGGACCCCAAATATCTACAATGATGCTTCCCAAATTGACAGGCTTCACACTCAATCTGAGAAACATGACTCAAACCCGGAACAGCTAACTTGAGCTTGGCCAAGGAGGGATGACCCAAGCGAAAGTATAAAACATAGAATAAATATGTCATTTATATATTTAAAAAATATAAATGTAAATAATAGTTGAATTTATTTATATGTAAAGAATAACTAACTATAGATAATACATGTGGTGCTAGATATTATTATTTTGGTAAAATATTGATTTTTCCTTTAATATGTTTATAAAAATTGTATAATCAAAATTTCAATTATAACTTTAGTCTCATACTCAAGTATATATTCACAATTTCTTCGGTTCGTTAAGGCTCGTGAACAGGTTCTACCTCAGGTTAAGCCTAAGCCAACTCGGTTTGAGCTTAGTTCATTAAATTTTTATTGAACTCGAACTCGAACTGGAACTCAAACTCAAACTTGTTAAAATCTTAATAAACAAACTCAGATATACTAAAACTTGGCTCGACTCGTTTGTAGTCGTATGTACGTATGAGGTTGGTCATCTCGTGCTTAGTCCTAATAAAAATTCAATTCTTAGGCCCCTTACCTAGTCCATATATATATTTTAACCTAAAAAAGTAAACATGAATTTTTTTCAAAATAAAAAAAAGGGATTAAGAAACATCCAACCTCGTTTGGTCACTTTATAAATTTTTTTTTTGGTAAATTACACTTTGCCCCCTTTATGTGTCAATTTTTTTTCAGTTTACTCTTAAAGCTAACTTATGTTAAAAATTAGACAGAAAATGACACATTGACAGTCACGTGACATAAAAATATTTTATTATGTATAATACATATTGCTTACACAAACTCAAATCTCAATATAATAATATATATATTTTTTGTTTTGTGACAATTGTCGTGGTATTTTCTGTCTAATTTTTACTAGGAGTTACCTTTTAGAGTAAACTGAGAAAAACTTGAAACATTAAGGGCCAAAGTGGAAAAGTGGCTAAACATAAAATGGGCAAAATGTAATTTACCCTATTTTGCCTTTTTGGACATCAAATCAACTAAAAAAAAACTTACTTTTGGACTATGAGTGAAGATGAAATTGACAAAAAATATGAAAGATCAAAATGATAGAGAACGCATACTTTAGAGACCATAGGTGTAGTCGGGGTTATTAGAATCCCGATCCGGATTGTAGGATCTTACAATTCTACGACTTTAGTTAGGCCAAACGATTTAAATCACACTTGGATCTTAAATTTAGTAGAATCTTAAAGTGACTATGATCTTCTTCATAAAATTGTGTAGAATCGCATACGATCCCGATTCCATTACGATCCCAATCTATGAAGCACGGGTACGGGCATGAGTACTACTGGTATTGGTACGATACGGATACGTTGATATGGTAAAAGTAAAAAAAAAAAAAAGGATACGGATAGAGCTTGGTACGCTTGTAAAAAAAATATTTATTTTTAATTTAAAGTAATATAAAAATTAATTAAATGGTTTAATTTATTAAGGTTCAACCTACAATTAACATTTAATGTCAAAAGTAAAGGTATAAATCAAAATTAAATGTAAATATATTAAATAACTTATAAACCATAGTTTAATTTTAAAATCATGCTAAGTATAAAACAAAAAATAAAAAAGAATTCTAGTGAAAAGATTTTTATACATCAACCCAACAGTAACAAAACTACAAATTAAGATCAATGACCCCTAGGGTTAGTATTTTCGGCTCCTAGGGTAGAGAAAAAAAAGCAAACAGCAGTCCCAAGAGCAGATTTGAAAAACAGTCCCTAAAAACATGAAATAATTTCAAAAATCGAAAACTTACATCAAGGATGATGAAAAAATTCCACAAAAATCACCATAAATCTCAGGAGGCAATTTTGAGTCTAGGGGTGAAGGGCCCGTCCGTATAGTGCTTATGTCATCGTACGGCTGATGACATCAGCACGTCTCGGTCACCTCAGATCGATCTTTAGAATCTGTAGAACCCTTTCTAATGAAGAAGAGATAGCTTTGATACCAAGTGAGAATGTAAAATGGAGAAATTAGGGTTGAAAGTTAGGAAGAAGAAGAAGAAGAGAGAACTTTGTATATATTAAAAACCAATTAATTCCCTCAACTGTACATCACTCAAATATATATAAAAAACCTAAAGTAGCAATATGACCATCGTACCCTCAACTTAAGTAAATATTAACAAGAGAACAAAAATAACTAAAAGAACTATTCTAACAACATAGTACTAGCCTCAAACTAGCCTAGGTCCTACAAGGGTTTGGAGTCTAGTTTCCAAAACTAGGTAGGAAACTGCCTTTCCTGTGTGCCTTCCAGAAGTACTGCTTGAGTGGACTCCATGTCGTCGTCTCTGTTCTATCACTAATCCAGCAGATGAAGCACTCAACTTGAGCTGGTCCTTTGGCTGCTCAAGCGGCCAGGGGCTACTTCACAGTCTCCATGCTCTTATCAAGAACTATGTGCTGTGTCTAAATCATGGATTTGGATACAGATTTGGGAATATATTTTATTCACATTGTCCGCACATTTTCTATTTTCCTTTTCAAATCCATGATTCAAACACAACCTAAATGTTTTGGCTTTCTAAAACCAAAACCCATCATAAAATCCACTTGTAGGCAGCCTCGGGTAAATTTTTTGAAAGTTATTGTACAACAGGAAACCATAGCCTTTTTTTTTTTTTTTTTTTGTTCTTTTTAGGAAAACATTTAATGTTGTTCGCCAAACATGGGAATCGTACCCAACTTATATACTTTTTCTTGTACTTAAATCTGGCTTAGGCTTCAGTTCTTCTAGATTCTAAAAAGAATAGAATAAGAGTTTGTTGAGTACTTTTGGGCTAGAACCTGATACCGAAGGGCTGCTGTTTTTTTTTTTTTTGGAAGTAATGCACAATACGATAATAAATGAGCCATCCTACTCTATTGAAAACAACTTCCTGCAGAACTTTTCAAGTCACTTTCATTTGTTTTGTATAAAAGTTTGTTTTGATGCCCTTAAGGAGAGTATTGGGAATTCTTTCAAATTACTTCCCCAGACTTCTATATCGTAGACTCGTAGTACCAAACACAACCTTAATTTTAAAACAGAGGAATACATTTCATCTGGGAAGCACAAACACTTAAATATGGGTGGTGTCCCTGACATGTATCGAACACCTATTCACTGTGGACACACGTGTCCACGTGTTGAACATGCCATGTGGTGTGTCAAAATTTTTAATTATTATTTTTTTTGCAAGATACGCTGAGGATACTTTATAGACATGCGTGTCCTATGTTCAGACACACCTCAGGACACTGTTTTTTTGGGTTTTTTTTAATAATAATTTTGGAAAGACGATTCAGGGTCAAATTAAAATATATGGAAACAAAGAGAGGGAAAACAGAGAAAATAAAATTACGCTCACATTTACATAACGTCTCTTATGTCTTTGTGTTCTAAATTTATATTAATTTACAAAGCAAATAAAAGCATATTTGTTTTCCATATTCCCGCCATATCTATATCCGTTTTTTCCAAAATTGTTGCGTCTCGTGCTCATGTCTGCGGTTTTTTAGCATTTCATACACTACCCAGGCACAAAAGTGACTAGATGACGGTTGCTTTTTCTTGCCAACCCATCTGCAGGGAGCATGGAGTTGTAGGTGATATGAGGGATGCATGGCCCAATGCTCGGGTGAGGAAGAATATGTCTCTCATACGCACTTTTCACGGCTTTAAAGGTATATTTCTATTTCTCATCCCCGTATTGCTCTTCAAGTGACACATAGTGGTGTCTGCTGAAACTGTGGAGTCACTCAATTTGAACCCGTTTCTGTCAGGTAACAAACAGGGAGCTCTTGAATTCCTCAAGTTAATCTTTAGAGCTCTTTGTCTCTGCTGGGATCGCCAAACTCAGGATCTACACGTAGATTGGATTCTTTTTAGAGGGAGATCGCTAATTCCAGTTTCGTGTGAAGTTGTGAATGATAACATTGACGGGTACTATCCATCTTCGCATTATCCAATATTTGTTGAGTTTATGCTTCCGCGTACTGTGAGACTTCTCGAACCACCTGCTCAAGATGGAAATTGAGCCATCTATGTTGGAAATGTTGAAAAATGGTGGATATTGGTGCTATCGAAACAGTTAATGACAAATTTCCTAGTGAAAGTAGCAGAAACCATGCACCGTGCCTGACTGCCTCTATCGTTACTTTGAGTTGTGGAAAAAAGAAACCAATTCCCTTGTGAAATTTCTCGCCAGCAGTTAGGAATTCAATTTTTTACTGTTCATTTTGACTAGCCCCAAAATCTGTGCCTGAATAATGTATTTTTTTTCATTTCATAAGTTATCATATTGATGAAGTTTGCAGGTTGTATGAAGTTTAAAAAGCTTCAAAACTGTTTTGTTGTCTCCATGAGTTCATGTGCTGCTTGAAGTTTGCAGATCCTCTTTATTTCATAAATAGAGTGGAGATCTTTACTTTACTATCAATGGCACAAATTTTTATTTTAAAAACAAATCAAATAAGGGAATTTTTTTTTATTTTAAACTTTTAATGACGTTGTAGTTATAGACTGTTATTTGAATTTTGATGATGTGTTGCTACTTTATAAAAGAAAATGGAGATTTTCATTACATCTATGAAATGGAGAAGATAGTAAGTTTGGTTTAGTTTTCACTGTTTCGGTTTTTTTGTGTTTTGAGCTTCAATAAAATCTTCTCTATTATTTAATGTTTTTTTTTTTTTAATTTTTTTTTGTTTTTGTTTTTGAGAAAGATGAAATTCCTACTAAGCTTCCTAATATCATTAATAACAGTTACCACATACCAATCTGAACTACAATTGCCAAATCAAAACTTGGCAATCTGCGAGAATAGTTATCCTCGATAGGTAATGTGCTTGTGCTCATTTGATAGCTTCTAAGCAAGCTCTGTCAACCAGCAGTGTTCATACCTGAAAACTGAGGGATTAGAATTGGTTGTTATATATTGGGGACTAGTGCAACTAATTTGATGAGTCCTGTGGGACTGTGAAAGAGAAAAAAGTTGTACAATAGTTATAGTCTTGACAACTAGGTGCACGTTAATTTATTTATTTTCATTTTTAAAGAAAGGTGTAAATTATACTAGGGAAAAGTGTATATAAAAAAAATAATCAGAGTTTGACCCTTGTAATAAAATAAATATTGAGTTTGTTAATTTAAATTTTAATCTTTTGGTTTGTTTTCAATTCAAACCATTCACTTATTTCTGTTTAGTAAAGCTGACAGGAAAAATGATATTTTAGTCATTAAACTCAATGTAGGCTTATATAAATGCAAAGGTATATCCCCATTTTCAAATACTATACTCGTTGAGTAAGAAATTGATATCTCAGAAAATATCCAAGTTTGAGTTTCCAAAGAATTTATGACAATTAAAAAATCAAGGCTATGCTATTTTTTGGAAGAGAAAAGTTAGAGATCATGAAAATTTTTTCATAAAAATGATCATGAAAGATTTATGATCCTTGGATTACCTTTGATGATACAGTTCGTTCCAGGTGGAACGGGTCGGACTGATCCACGCTTCTCAAGCCTATGTCCGAATGACTAAGTCCACCAGAAAACCTGCACAAGAGTTCAACGGGGAACGGGGAGTCCCCCAGCGAACCCTCCGACGAACAAGTTAGAGAGAGAACTGGAATGTGTAGATAGATTAGAGATAGAAAAGCTTAACCTTCTTCCTGTGTTCGACGTCTGCTTATATCCTCTGATAATCATTTCGTTGTCCCTTCCGACTTGTCACCTTAGCCGAAAGTCTATGCTCTAGCTTGCCTTGTTCATGGTGAAGCTGTTCTGTCCCGACGGAGAGGGGTTGTCGCAATAAATGCTGTAAGGGGCTTCATTAATGGCGATGTGCAGTGACAATAACTTTGCAGATTTTTATCTGCTTATGTGGCTTGCCCTTCTCTTGACACGTGTCTTGATGTCATTGGTTCTTATTGCTACGTAGAGCTTCGGTAGTGCTGGGCCTTAGTATTTGAGTTGTGTATTGGGCCTTAAATGGTGGGCTATAATCTTTATGGGCTTACCTATGTCAACCTTGATTAGTATGTGGTGCTTTATTCTAAGTGTAATCCAAGGGTCACAAACCTTTCATGATTATTTTCATGAAAGATTTTTCATGATACCTAGCATTGTTGTTTTTGGAACGGATAGCAAATAGATTGTAGTGAAGTGAAACAGATGGGTCAAATATCACGTTCATGGAAACTACAAAGGTTTTAGGAATGGTGGCAGATTTCTTGGTGGTAGGTTTGAGAACATAGTAACAAGTGTCATTATAATCTAAACTGATGCAAGAGGACGAGCATAACAAGAAGCCATTACAAGATTAGGAAATTTTGATACCATTAGGGCCATTGATAAAATTGGGTGATCGCAAAGCATTTGAAGGCTTCTTCTTTACAAAACTTTTGTTTGAGATGAGAGATATGTAATTAAACATGATTGTGCTGGAAGAGACTGAGTAGGGCCTGACCTGAGTTATTAGGGACCTAAGGTATATTTTTTAAATTGAGTCCTTCATGTATCATTATCTTAAAAAAAATTTGTTTGGATAAAACAAAAAGGATAAAAATTTATTTCTATTGCATTACAATTTAACAAAATCAAATATATATATATATATATATATATATATATAAAATAGTTGAACTTCAATTAGTTGAATTGAATCTTTATTTTTTAGCTTACCAATGCTATAAGAACTAAAATTAATTGGGGGGTAAGGATGAGAATTTTCGACACAACTCAAGCAATATATAAAATTAGTAAGTTAGGATTGACTATTTTTCAACATGAATCTAAGTATGATACGATTCAATAATATGAATTATTAGTTATATATTTTTATTTTCACTAAGGGATGCAATGACATTTTTTTAATCTTTTATTTAACTCCATCTAACTGAATAAAAAAGTATGTAAAATAATAATTAAGGCTAATATCTTTTTTTCATTTAAGATATGTATTTTTTTGTTACCTATTTTAGAGTCAATCTAATAAAAAATATATAGTAATAAGGTACAATTTTTTTAATTAGAAAAATGCAATTGAATTAAAATCAAACATTCTATGAATAATTTCATTTAGTAGAAATAAATTTTATAAAATTCAACTTATGGGAAAAATTTTAATCTCTTCATACACTTGCTAAGTTATTTTTAACTAAAAGTAAAAGTTTTCACATTAAATATCAATCGGACACGAATCAAAATAACACCATACAACAGCATGAAAATAAATGAATTGAACTAATTTTAAAGTAATTATGAAATAACACGACATGATACACTCTCCTAATTAGGGGTCCTAAATTTTGTTCAAAATTAGAGGCCTGAGGCGACCGCTTTAGTGGCCTCACCTCAGGGCCGGCCCTGTTGTAGTGGAAGAAAGCATTTGCAAATTTGAGGGGATTCCAATTGAGAACGACACAAGGATAAGAGATGTAAGTGAGCCATCTCTTGAATTAGAAGAGATGCTTCGTTGGTAGCCAAATCAGGATTTGCTTCAAGAGGTTGTCATCATCGATGACCATTTTGGCAGTGTTGATACTGACGTGCGGCGCTGTTGATTGGGATGAGAGATATGCCCGAATCCATTTATTTCCGCTGTGTATTATTTCTTATTTTTCCTACCAAAACTATATATTTGGTATCATGCAAACTATGGTTCAGCTCAATAGAATGTGAACTCGCTCCTTTGTGAGTTGACCATGATTGTGTTGGAAGAGACTGAGACAATTGAGGACTCTTATGGTGGGCTAGTGCAAGAGTAAAGAAAGAGGTAAGGAGATTATGGAGTGCAATTCCTTTGGCAATTCTGTGGTCAATATGGAAGCATAAGAATGATTTTGTTTTCAATGGGGTACAACCTGACAATGGATGATAGAATATTATATATACATACATATATATATATTCTGTACATATAGTTATTCCATATATAGTGTATGTGATTGTATTTACCATAGTTAGGTTTAGTCTCTCCTCCTATATAAAGGAGCCATGTATACTTGATTCATACACATCATTCAATACAGAGTTTATCTTTTCTCCCATTCTCTCTCTCTCTCTCTCTCTCTCTCTCTCTCTCTAATATCATAACAATGGAAAACTGTGTGAACTCACCAAACTAAGATTAGCTTGAGGATCAAGTCCTCATCCAAGGACATGAACTTTTCAGCGAATGACTTTGTGTACAATCTGTATCAGATTAAGTTCTGTCTTGGAGGATGAAGTTCTTAGCAAAGGAGAGGTGGTGATAGACTCTAATGTTAAGCCTTGTGTTAGCAGATATTTTAATATTATAATGTGTTATTGGTTTGATTTGTTTTTTTTCCTCCAAGTTAATCCTTTTCTTAGTGACCAAGAATCCTCCAAGCAAGTTCCTATACTTTTCCTCCAAGAATCCTCCAAGTCAAGTCTTCTTCTCCAAGTCTTAGTCAAGTCTTCTTCTCCTCCAAGAATCTTGTCCACTAAGTTTCTTCTTCTCCAAGACACTTGCCCACCAAGTTTTCCTCTCCTATAAATTGAGCCTTTCACCTCTCTTATTCGTACCTCAAGTTTCTTATTTGTGAGATTATTAGGCAAATAAAAAAGGGTGTATGTGTAAAGCTTTGGGTTCAACCAATTGTGCAGTATTGGTTAACCATACGACTTAGTCGGATTGTTGTATCCTGGGGGGGACAAGTCAAGGTTTTTTCTGCTGTACCGGTGTGAGGCTTAGCCTAACTGCAGAGGGGTTGAATCTCTTTAAAGAGAGTGAATTTCCCGCACCTCAGCCTTTACAATAGTTATTGTAATTTTTATTATTTGTAATTATCACTAACAATTTTAAGGAGATTCAAATAGCAAAAATTCATGGAGCAAGTACTGGAGAAGCCCAAAGAGAATATCGGCGATCTCAATAAGCCCTTCCGATTCAAGGGAGCCCATTTCAAGAGATAGAAAGGCAAGGTGTTTTTCTACCCCAGTATCCTCAAGGTGGCCTATATCCTGACCGAGAAAAATCCGAACAAAGTCCCCATTGAAGAGATGACCGACGAGGAGTATGCCGCTCATCTTGAAAAAATCGAGAAATACAACACATATGAGTATAAATGTCGGTATTATCTTTTGAATTGTCTTTCGGATCAATTTTATAATTCTTATGATATTACTTACACCATTGCCAAGAAAATTTGGAAAGCCTTGCAGAATAAATATGACACTGAAGAGGTAGGCACTAAAAAATATGCTGCAAGCCGTTTTTTCCGCTATCAGATGATAGATGAAAAATCAGTGGTGAAGCAAGTTCAAGATTTTCAGATACTAGTGGCTGAAGTTAGATTCGAAGGCATCAAAATGGGAGACAATCTTGTTGTAGCAGGTATTGTTGACAAACTACCATCATCTTGGAGGGAGTTCCAGAAG